CTATGGCGTTTTGGCTGAGAACAACGTCTTTGTTTCGAATGGACAGCATGCTGGCGGCATTCTTGCGGCCATACCTTCGATAGTCTAGAGACAGGGCGCCAAAAGTGAAGATTGTTTGAACATCTGACGTCGTAAATAGTGAAGGGTTTAAAGAAGATCAGAGAAGAGAAAATGACGTAAAGAATATATAAAAAGCAAAAGAAACTGCTGTAATCTTTCATTTGGCGGCTTTGCAGAGTGCAAGTTTTCTCTCCAAGACCAGCAATTCGCAACACTGGGTTTTGATTTTTGATGCGTCCTTTGAATTTTTTCCCCGCATTGACGCTCCTGTTTCCTGGGACGTTGTCTGAATTGTTGCGCTTATTGTTCTGAGCAACAATCGCTCAAGCCGGAAAAAAATCGATGCGAAAGCACTGAAACAGAACAAGGTAAAGAAAAACACACTTTTTACGATTTTTAGCAAAAAATTCCACCATAATCGAAGAGGTAAGGGCTGGGTAGTTGTCTGCATTATGAACAGAAGCAAGATCTATAGAATGCACGAAAACTGCGTGAAAAGAGTTAAACTAGGAGAAAAACAAGAGATTTTCGAAAACAAGGTTTTTGCCGGATTTCTCGATCAAATTAAAAAATATGGTTCTGGAACGTTGTCAGCGTGAAAATAGAGATCAAGAGCTTTGAAATCATGACTTATAAATAGCGCTAAGCGTCTGTCTGTTTGTCTGTGTGTGTATATCTGTCCGTCACGAAATTCACAGAGTGAGTTGCAGCCAGCGTCTTGATCTAGAATTTTGGTCATAGCACCCTGTCAGCGTGTAGGTAAACTGTGCAAAATCACAAGCCGATCCAGTAAGTGGAACCATCGAAAACTTGCGTCAAACGGATCCACGCGACTTTTGGCCCGCCAAAATGGATCGGTAATTAGACTTTTTGCAAAGTCGTGGATTTGTTCAGCAAGTAAAACTGAAAAATATTGACTTTAGCTCAAAAAGTAAGCAAAAAGTCTATTTTCACACAAGATTGGCGCCAAAAAGATGTAACTGAGCAAACTGTCGATTTGCCAAGTTTTCGTCATAAAAATTGAGAGGATTTTTGAGTAGATATGTAGCTCAAGGTGGTCTTTATCTTTATGGCGCCTACAACGCCAAAATAAATTCAGTAACTCATTCAAAATCGCATTTGTTTTTCCGCGGGAAAATTTTTTCTCCCAAAATTACCGATCTTACATGGGAAAGCTCTAAAAATGAATGGTTGCTTACAATTCATTCGTGTTGTTCAGCATCGCACGGTGAGCTTCAAAATTATTATTAAATTAAATACACAATATACAATATTATAATATCAAATTATCACGAAGAAGGTACGGATATTAAAGCCAGTGCGAACCTCTGCGAAGCAGAGGTGACGCACTGGTGATATATAGCTTGCTAAATTTGGGTTCGAACCAGCGAAGAAAAGGGTACCAGAGCCAAATGCCCCGCGCCCCGCGCTTGGGGTAGCGAGGTAGCGCGCAGCGCGCGGAGACGCAGACGAGCAGCGGAGACAGACCAGAGCCGACGGGGCATTTGGCTCTGGTCGTAGATCTCCGTGGGGTCTCAACGAAACCCTGCAACATTATATATCATTCTGATCGTCATGACACGGCAATGAGGACTGACGACGTCATGAGCTTTGAAAATCACTCATTAACGAGATAGATCAGCATTTATGTGGCGACTCTCTGCGCAAGAATTAAGCGCAGTTTCTCGTTTTTATTTAACTCCAATAGCTTTCCTAAACTTCTGAAACTCTATTTTGGTCAAATGAGAGATTGGCTGAGAAATTTTGTTTTGAATTCTGGCGAAAATCCCACAGAAACCTTCTTTTTAACGTAAAAAAGGCTATGAAAACGCAAGTTCTCGGTTTTGCTGAAAGCTAAAGATATTATTCCCTATATTTGCTTCACTAACATACGTTCCGATATAGTCAGGATAACAACAACAGAAGTCATCCAGGGCGAAGCCCCGGATGACTTCTGTTTTTTTTTCAGGTGAAGGTTGTGTCCCCTCAAAGCCCTCAAAGTGAAGGTTACCAGAGTACGTGGCTCTATGTATCGAGGGTATGCTTGCGGCTCTCCTCCTCCCCCCCCCCCGGACATCCTCTTTGCTTTCCGCTCTAAAAACGATATCTAGCTTGACCAGATGCCAGCTGTGCCGAGCCCTGATTTAGTCACATGTACCCTGTTTCGGAAGATGATGGTAGCAATGTTAAATGATGATGATCTTTGCCTCAAAAATTTCACGGATCTCGCACATGCTCAGGCATACATAATTCTCGTTAGTCATATGTACGCTCGCTGTATTTTCTGAACCTAGAAGCTGAAAACAATATTTGGTTTTACCCGGATGTGGCAATTCTTATCACTAAAGCATCACTGATTTGCAGTTTTCATAGTTTTACTTCCAGAGAGTCGTATTAACCATGTACATGACAGGAAGTAGCATTACGTTCGCCAATTTTATACTTTTCAGTCATGGAAAGATAAGTTAGTGTTTGTAATAAATGTTTGCACGCGTTATTTGTACACGACGACTTAAGCTCCTAGAGAAATAGACATAAAACTCCAGTAGACTTTCAAAGAAAAGTATATTTTATAAGTAGGATGGAGCAAGAGATGGCATGTGACCCCCCCCCCCCCCCTCCACCCTTGAGTGTCTTAATAGAGTGCCGTACTATCGTGTACCTACTGTATCAAAAGTATGAGTTTTACTCATAATGAGTAAAGTGGTGGTTCAGTGTGCCGATTGTCCTGCTCAGCCATCCAAACTGTCGTGTCCAAACACCAGCGTCGAGTAACTGCTTTATCGGAGGCGAAGTCACACAAAGAATGATCATTACCCAAAATGGGCAATGAGCAAAGCATACGTAAGCAAAACATTGAAACTACGTAAACACTATAGTCTATACTATAGTCACGTATGCTGGTCTCTCTTGATCGCGATCCGCGATAATGAGTAATATATCCGTAAGCTAGTTAGCTTGCCAGATAACCCCTGTCGAATGAGCAAAAAAGCAAATTAGTTTCTAGATATTGGTCCATCCAAAAGAAACTGTCATTCTCATGATTCTCATGATTAACCTTGCCTTCAAATTTAGATAGCTAATGCTTCCCACACTCGATACAAGGCATTACTTCTTCTCTGCACAGGTGAGAAATGCCACTTCGAATAATCGGCAAACAATGGAGTTAGAAACCAGCCACTGTTTTCGCTTTCAATGACTCGCTTTCAGCAACTCTTACACAGACTAAAAAAATCGAATCAGGCACAAATTACTCTCTCCAGGAAATTCACGGTATCGAAACATGTAAATATTATCCGCTGAAAGTAGTGAGTTAGGGGTGTGGCAAAACCAAAAAAGGTGTGGCTACCACATTTTCTTGGTTGTTTCACAGCCCATTACTTACCTTCTAACATGTTTCGGACCGGTGTTGCACGTGTAGCACGCTGCTTTGAAGGATCTTTTTGACGTAAGTAGAGGTGTTCTTTTAGTGCAGGGTTACCAAGCGAAAGGCTTAGGCTCCTATTTTTTAAATGATTCTATGGAGTTGTGCCGCCGATGTTCATTTAAGAAATAAGAGGACAAATAGAACAACAGTTGCATAAAAGTGGGGCAAAATGCGGCAGCGCGAACGACGCGTGCGACTTCGCAAGTTTTCTTTGCTCTGGTAGCAAGGAGAAGAACTGTAATACATATTAGTGTGTACCGTGTGCGACATAGATATTTTGATACTACTTAAAATTGACATCTTTTTTCTGTCTTTCAAGAAGATACAGAATTTTTCTCAAGTGACAATTTGGATAAACAGCTTATCTGACATGCTGATTAGAGAGGTAGCACAGTGTACGAAATAAAGTCCTTTTGTTGGATAACAGCTGAAAATACACTATTTTTCGCCGCGTGCGATTTTGCGACCCGAAACGTGTTGAGCATTCATACATATCGGCTTTTTATCGCCGTTACAACTGCTACACCTTCATCTCTTCAAAGCAGAAATTTTAGCCGAACACTGCTAAGAAGACATGGCCTTTATCTCCAATCTCTGTTTGTGTCAAACGGTGTGAAGGTAGTTTGCTAAATCTGTGCTACTACTATATTGCTACTACTGCTATACGTGCTACTACTGCTGCTACTGCTACTGTACTATATGGTATTTATGACATCGCAAAAGACATACCAAGAACATATTCGAGTTCAAATAATTGATACATTTTTTGGAACATCCTGTACTTAAACGCTGTACAACCATAATGCTACTTTTTCTGCGGTTCAAGCGCTTTATGATCAAGTTATGCAGTCACTCGCATTGTCGGTTAAGCACAGATCACTCTCTTCTTCACAGCTTTGATCACATCATGTACATTATAGTCGCTAACCCTAAGTCGTGAAAACTTCTGGAAGCATTATCATTTTGCTCATCACTTTGCTTCGAGTTGAGAACAAAATTACGGATTCAAAATACCCGTTTGAAACTATGAGAAGGAGGCTTTCCCTTGGACTTATACTCTAAGACGAAAAGAGGAAAAGTATAAGGTACCACCTTCAATCATTTGATTTGGAAGCATCATCGTTTGCATTAAGAGATTTGGACCCCAGTTCTTTGCACATCAATCAAAAGCTGCAGGACGATCAGGCTCATCGCAGCAAAAAAGCCATGCTATTTATGTATGCACTTGAAACCTTGATTATATCGATGAAAATGTCTTTGTTGTGTTTTTGTATTCAAAAATGCAATCAGCTACCGGCGCATCGCAGCAAAAAGCCGTGCTCTTTGGGAATGCATTTGGAGCCTGATTACGATAAAAATGTCTTTATGTTATATGCACAACAAGCTATTAAGTATTCAAGAATAAGTTTCTTCGCTATTAAAAGCGGCGAAAAAGGGAACGAACTCACAAGAAAAGCTTCACCGCCAGCTTTCAATCAGCTCGCTGCGGAACTCTTTGAGCGCAATATTCAGAATGAAAAACCTCCTTATTTTCGTGGTCTTTGCTACTGCCGTCTGTTTCCCTCGTTCTAGCGGAACCAAAAAGGCAAGTCTCATAAGCTAATTCACTTTTGTCAAAAGTTGCTCACTATGCAATGTTTGAGGCGGAACTCAAAAATGTAAGCCAAAGAAAAGAATTTCTGACGAAGGCCAAGAAGCATATCGATGAGTTAAAGAAGATGTTCAATAAATTTGTAGCGGTTGACAAGAACAACTCAATGACTGACGAAGAAAAGATCAAAGCCTTTTCTGCGATAGAAAAAGGGAATCCAATGGCAAGAGAAAATTGAACAATAACTTGTTTGACACATCTTCTTTCAGGCGTTCAGCGCTGTGTATGTCTTCCACATGAATGTTGCAGGAACGGCAAGTTTTTTATATTATAAAAGGGCAGTGTCCGGAAGATGATTTTCGAATTGCTTTCTTACGTAAAAGTAGACTCTCTGCCCACACCACCGTCCATGTGTTAAGACACGTGGTGAAGTCCCGTGAAACCCGGGAGTTGGAACTTACGCCTAGCGGTATAGTCTTGCCTCATAGATACATGCCATTTAGAGCGAGCATATGTACCCTTGCGTTAAGATCCTAGTGTCCTCAATGACTCCTCTTCTTCTCTAAAAGGGCGGAATCTTCTCCCACTCAATCTTGTGAAACTTATCACTTTCAAATGGCATGTACAGGTAAGCGAAGGAGCCGGGAACCAATGTGGTCTGAATACTGCTGACAAGCAGATATCAATGAAACGTTATATAGCTAGCAGTACTGGTCAAAGCTACAATTGTACCTCAAAAATGCATCGACCATTTGGAAGACTGTTTATATAACCCTACTTTCTATAACTAGAGAGGTTCGCTTTCATTCGACTACCAAGAAAACACCAAAAGGTTTTCGATGCAGATTGAAGGCTGCCCGGAAGTGTAGTCTCGCTTTCAGTTTCTAACTAGCACTACACTTCTTAGCTGTCAAAGCCTGCTAAAGTGCAATTCATAATCATATAAATACTTTTGATTTGTGAAATTTGGGACTTTTGAAAGGTTCGCGAAAGATCGGTGTTGCTATATGAAAGAGCATATCCAAAACGGTATAGCCACATAAGAATGAGAATTGGTGTCAGTTCTAGAAATGCAATTTGCGAAGATTACGAATTTTGAGCGGCTCATAAGAACACCTCAAGTCAAGCAGTTTCATTTAAAATTATTATCACAACTATCAAGAAAGCTTGTATTATCTTGAGACTTTATGACGAGCTGACTAAAGTCTTCTGCCACAAAAAACAGACTTTTGCAGCAGTGAAACCACTGCGGAGATTAGTGCTCCTCTATTGAACTTTACTGGATGCAGAGCAGCTATTCTCACCTTTGATTATTGAATGTAACTGTAAATTTACAAAGATTCTTGAATGCGAAAGATTGCAGGTTTGAGTGAAATACGGAGCTTGATCTGAGGTAATCGTATGATTACATACCGCTCAAATTCGCATCACAAAATGCATTCTTAGGATCGACAGTAGATTTCGTCCTTGTGCTAGCGTTTTTGACTATTCTCTTTCACATAGCACCAACGGTTTTTTGCTTTTCTTTCAAAAAGTCATGACATCCTCACTGTCGCGTCTCGCGATGCAAGGCGCTCCTCGAAGTACGGAGGCCGGGGGCATCGGTTACCGCGCTATCCGGCGACGATTACGGTAGCCGAGACGCGTGTTGCCGCGATCGTCTCCGGACCTCTCCTTAATTGGCTCGTTGCCAGCCAGGCGGCTATATAAAGCGGCGGCGCCTCATTTGGTTGCCTTATTCGCCTTCGTCTTATTGATTGATTTTGAATTTCTTGTTCGCATTACGTTTCAGCCGCCATGCTCCTGTCCTTTTTGTAAGAGCAGTTGAGCCGGATGTCTTTTGGATTGGAAAACGTATTCCCTTTTTGTTAGCGCAAGTCGACGCGCCTAGTACTATTCGGAAATCATCTACAGGAGCAAGAGGGGACATGCCGTCGTCTACACCTTGGCGCTGCGCGGTGGATTTGTTGCGCGAAACCTCGAGAGCCTCATGTATTTTTGAGATTATCTGCAGACGCGCATCGGTAGCATGGGACGGGCCCTCGTCCCGTGTTTAATCTAGTAGTAGTAGTAATTTGTTTTTGTTTTAGTGTAGTTTTCCTTTTTATCTATTTTAACTGTAGTTTAGCGTCATAAGGATAAATCACTTAATTAGCTTCATGTTCTGTTCGGTCGCGCGTTAGTGCGCAGTAGGCTAGGTACGTCGTTTAGTATCGGGCGAGCATCAGGCCTCGGGTAATATCTAGGTGCCATGAGCCCACCGAGTCGCCACACTCACATCAAGGAGTGGTCGTATAATTATGAACCACACTTTACATATGTATCAAGGTGATTGTGGAAATCGTGGACTCGGACTCCCATTCATACAGATGAGCCACTTCATTTTAAGCTCGCAAAACATCGCAAAAAGAGTTTGAGGAGAAAGTCGAGCTTAGGCTTTCCGTTGGGTTAAATCAGGTTTGCTTCAAAGTAAAAACACAATTTTTTTCTCTTGCCTAGTCCTAAGCAACTGCAAAATGGTTGAAGTTTCGTCGTACCAAAAAATTAAAAGTTGCAGCATTTTTTCACAGAGGAACTGAATGATAAAAGTATTTCAAGAGAGAAAGCGGTAAGCGTTTCCATTGAAGGTATGGCACAGCCCATTTAAAGCGGTTGTTTGATCATTTTATATATGCGTTAACATAAAAGATTTTAATGTCAAATAAGTAACTTGCTGTGTAGAGTGGGAATATGGTTTTGGCTAGCTTAGGCCTGCTTTTGAGAGTTTTTCAGTTTTCTTGGATAAGCTAAGGAAAGCGAGGTCCGCTCATACGGACAGTAGGCTGGTATACATACGGCTATACCAAACCTCAGAGCAGTTCTGACAGTGAGTTACGGCATTTTTAGAAAAATCCTATGGTTTTACCCCCTTCTGGAGCTAAAGCGGAAGAATTTAAGAAGGAAGTTCGGGCGGAAGTCGCTAAGCTCATAGATGGGCTGTACGCAGCGTTGAAAAGAAGAATTGATATACTAGACGACAAATCGAAGACTTCCGTAGAAAAACTCAAATCCCTTGCGAAGCTAGCACGAGAGAATCCGCAGGTCAGAAAAAAAGGGTGGTTGGTTCAATACACAAATGTCATTTTTCTAGACGAACCTCGTTCTGCAAATCACGGTTGGTGCAGTTGCTGGTGAAATTTGACTGGCGAAGCGAGTTTGCACACTCAATCGACAACGTTATTCACCTTTTGTGTGAAAGTGACTTGTCTGAAATATGCGTCCAATAAATAGCGACCTTATAATCAATTATTTGGAGCCATTTGATCAACATTTGTCTTTCCTTGAGGATAAAAATCTGGAAGTTATAACAACGTCGCTCTCTAGCTTATGAGGACCCGTAGAGCATGTTGCTCAGACAATCGAGTATCGAGTTGGTATACCGTTGGCAGTTCTTAGCTAATTTCCAAAATATTATTTTACATTGTTTGCAGTAGATGCGCTGAATTTGAAATCGCGCATGACATCTTTATTCATGTGTGGTTCTACAACTCCAATAATGGTTGCTTGCTTTAGCTGATCATAGCTCTCGCGATTCCGCCAGATCGCTATCATTACGCGATTTTTTGACTCGCCAAATGTTTACTGTTACTGTTAATCCACACGTAGGTCTCACATTCCTAGGTGTAGCTCTTATAAGTTGATGTAAGCCTATTAAGTTTGCCCAGGTAAGTGCACTTACGAAGAAAGCAATGCCAGTCGCGCGCCGACTAAACTTGCAAGAGGTAAGACGGAGGTCTCATGAAGTGATGATGAAATATAAGTTCACTTTGTGGCAACTGGAATAGTATGAGCAGAAATCATCACTACGATTTTGTGCACCCACATAAACGTTCATCTGAAATTCTTTGGAAGTTCCTATTTCCTAGGAGCACTTGTTTGCACCGGTGGCTCTGGGGAACTTTTCGAAGTGATCGAAAGTCCCGCCAAGATAGGAAAGTTCTTGCGAATCGTTTGTAGAAGCTGATTCTTTTCATGGCTTTGCGGAGCACACAAGAGTGATCACCTTTGATTCCTCAAAGTTGATCAGTATTTCTAAAACATTCCTCTGCAAGTTGATCTAACAGGAGGACAAAACCAAAGATGCCTTTCTACGCTTTTTTGAAATGACTGGCGCTAATAAAAATTTCGTGAGACTGGGACAACTTTTCTGGCCAAATTTAACTGATGTTTATTGAACTAGAAATCACTTGAACGGTATTTTGCAAAGCTTTCTCTCTCATAAATCCTGATTTCTGAAGTTTTCTCTAGTTTTCCGATCTTCTCTACACTTGTGAAGTTTTTCTTCTGCCCCCAAATCCTAATTATACCTTCCCAACCTTATAAGGTATTCGCCAAACTGTTGAAAAACCCTCCGGAACTTCTGCAAGGTTTTTTGAAAGTGTTTCATTTCTCATGTTCTCTTTGTTGCGCGTGTCACGGACTCAATCACGCAATTCACGGTCGAGTTCCGAATAATCCAAGAAACAGCTGGGGCCAAACGACCTAGGCTCGAATAGTGCAGAAAAATAATGTGAACGGCTTCAGAAAAAATTGTACCACGATAGTATAGGTTCTTGAAAACAATTCTTGTGTTTGAAGAGAACCGTTCCAAATAAGTTGTTTGTGTTCAGAAAGTCAAACTTCCTCTTTTAAAGACACACATTCATAAGCATGCGTTCAAAAAAAATTTGATGTAGACGCCAAAAAAATTCAGGCATTCGATGCAGTGATGATAATAATAATGATAGAAATTCGCTGACTTGATGACTATGCGCATGACAAAGAAAAAGCGATAGATTTTCTCTTATGGCAGGAAGTTTGTGAACAGGAGGTTCAAACCAACTATAAATATTCAATGACATTACTTATGGTTCACAGTAACCATGTTGAATTTGCATCTTCTAACAACGGCAAAACATATCACAGGAACATAAGAAAGTATTTATAATAATTCGGTAATGACACAAACACTTCTGAAACCTTTGCTGGCTTATGACTGTGTACAGGAAAAACTGAGAATACCAACGTTGGCCTGATCGCTGATCGGAAAACATTCGTCTCTTCTTTTCCAGTAAGTCAAAGAGTTCCTTTACCAAGGAACTCTTTGGCCTACCGGCTAATTTGGCAAACTTCTACTAATGAGTCATCCCAACATGATAAACCTATGTAGGCGGTAATTAAATAGCTATGACGTAATCAAGAGTATGTGTAAGAAAGAATGTGATTTCTACAGTCCAGTTCGTTGTGAATTCGTCACAATCTACTTAAATAATTCGCCTATGCACTGTTACTTTTTTTCTGCTCTCTGTCTTTTTAATGAGATCCGTTTGCTGTCACCGAACTATCCGGATTAACTTATCCGAAAATCTCACAGATAAGTCCTCCCATCAAATAAGTCCGTCTACAGATAAGTCCGCCTTCAAATAGGTCCGTTTTTTTGACTCAGTTAAAGGCCCTTCAGATAAATCCGTCTACGGATAAGTCCGTTCTTCCTTCTATTATGACTAAACTGTAATCTTGTCAGATAAGTCCGGACTTACCTGATGGGAGGACTTATCTGCAAGATTCTTGGTGTTGCGAGGGTGCATTTTCATTGATTTTTCTTGTCAAAAAGCGGATTTGTCTGTAAAATTTTAGGGTACATGGTTACACATATGAAAATCGATAGCTGAATTAGGTATTTCTGAATTTGATGTTCTTCTTAAATGCTTATTTCAAACCTCTATCGCTACTGATACTGACAAAAATACCGAGGCCAACGAATATTGATATGCAAACACTTACTCAATCCATTAGGCCCGTGCATACTGCATTTGATATCCGTAGACGCTGTCAATTCGCCACATGTCTTCAAATTCAATACTCGCAGACTATAAATACAGATGCGTATGGCTCTTGTAGATCAAAAAAGTGCTGTATCTTCTGTACATTCAACATGGGCTCAAAACGGCTCATAAATAATTGAAATTTTGCCAGGTCGTATGAAGTATGTCTAACGCCTTTATTCCACGGTTGGCTTCTGTTATGTTGAGGGCTTGTCCATGAACAGCGCTTTCTGACCGGCCGATCAAAAGTCCTCCCCTTAGTTGCTGTGTCGAGCACATCCTAGGGCTATTTCAGCTTTTTATATACAAGACTCGGCATCGATCTGAACTTGGCAGAAAAGGAACGAACTTTCAAAAGTGACGTACTTGGTAATCATCGCGGCGGAACGTCATGTTTCGTATGATTCATGAAGATGAATGCTATGTAAGTACGAAAAAAAATAAAGAAATTGCATTCAAAGCGCCGCCACGTTCCGTATATGCCTTTTCCAGATTCATAAGGGCTGAACCCAAGCTTGCTCACACTCCTTAAACTTGTATTCAATCACTAGATCTGCTAATCAGGCTTCGGGCATACTTCGCGCGATTTCAGTTGCGACGCAATCTGGCAGTACTCCAAATGTTTATAAGTCTTGTAAGCGCATTCCAAATGTACAGAGTATAGGGCATTCTATCGACTTGTGAAAGTTACACGCGCTATGCATCGGTAGCCTCAGTTTTAGATTTAAAGAAATCTGGCAAATTGCCAAATCGTAACGCGACTGTAACCGCATAAAGAATGCTCGAGGATTTATTCAGCAATTTCTTTGCCTCGCGATTCCTCAGACAAGACAACTGTTACGTCCATTGCATGCCGATCCTCCTGCATTTCAGTTGTGATAGTTTTCAGACACGACTATTCGTGACTAACGATCGCAACCGAAGTACAAGGTGATCGGCATGCAATGGACTTGTAGCAGTTGACTTTGGGGAATCGTGAGGCGAATTCCAGTCTAGACCAGCCTAAACAAGTAAATTGTGATCATCATTTTGATTTTAGAACTGAAGTGTTGATTATTACAAGCTGTGGTCGGAGAAGATAGCGTCCGATTACTACAGTCGAAACATCTCACGAAGGTAAGAAACTCTTCTTGCCTTCAAATGTTACTTCTTTCACTATATGCGTAAGGCCCCGGGCAGACTTCACGCGATTTGATCGTCGCGACTGAATCGCGAAGAGACAACTGTTACAACATCATTCCATGCCGATCAACTTGCATTTCGGTTGTGATACTTTTCCAACGCGAAATTTTTGAATGTGGAATGGAAATGAATGGAAATGTTGGCGATTGAGTCGCGACGATCAAATCGCTTGAAGCCTGTCCGAGGCCTAAAATGGACATTATAGATGCACGAAAATAGCTCGCTTATGTATGCTTTCTAGGCTCAAAACTTTTCCCAAGATATCAGTAGATTTGCATGAAGACATTCGAATAGAATCTTTTGATTACACGGAGATTTGATTGCCTGACATCTGAACATAGTTAGAATTCATTTCAGAGTGAAGTTTCTTATTCAGTGCTTAACTTGTACCGAATATATATATACAATGCCCAGCACGGGATGGCAAAGATAACTGGCAAGAAGTTTGCCTATGCCTTGCCACTTCTACGGTAACCCCTCATGACATCTGTGCACGTTCATTTGCGCTTTCCTCCTTGAGCCTTGTAACTTTTGTTATTTTTGCTTTTTCAGTTTTTTAGCAAAGTAAAGAGGATTTCTAGGCAGAATCCTACTATGTAGATAATTTTAGGGGTAAAACTGATGAAATATCTTTTAGACATTGTCAAGGATTTTGTCAGCTAAAGTCACTTCTAGGGTGACTTTAACAGCTGCCACCCTAGTTTTGAAAAGATTTAAGCATGCTCTTCACTACACGCTTTTTCATACATTTCATAACTTGATATCCACGACTGCCATTATAGCAGGTGGAGCTTTGCAGACGTTTGATAATGTATACGCGTAGCAATTTCGATAATAGTATAGAAAAGGAAAAAGTTTGCCACATTGATCACAAAAGCTTTTCAGGATTCTTAGTTTGTTCCACTTGTCCGTTTATTTCCGAATTTGGTGTCATATCGTCATCTGTGCGCTAAAGTCACTCAATTGTTCACTACTCAGTAATGAGTTTACAATCAATCACCATTGATTTTAAAAAACTGCATCTCAAGCACAAATAGGTGTGTCAGTCGTGTATAACTGTTCGTCATTGCATAGAGATGTTTGAGTTTACGTAGTGCTTTTGAGCTCGTATTCACGATACCCCTTTGTTTTATTTCCATAGAAGAATTTTCAGCTT